CTCTTCCACAGCGGGGACCCCTGGGTGCTTTCGCCCCGAATGGTGCAGCCGGGTCCCTTGTCCTTTGCGGGGGCTCTGGGCTTGGATGGCTCCCAGGAGGCAGGTCTCAAATCACGGCCCTTTCTGCTCCGCAGCATCCCCAGGGCCCGGACGCTCCGATCCGCTGACGGGGCCCGCGGGGCCGCAGGAACCGGGAACGCCTGGACACCCGACCTGGCAGCACCTTGTCCTCACTGAGGAGCAGGAGGAGGTTTCGTCAGCGGCTCTCCGGATTTTTCTGACCTCTCTGACACCACATAGACTCTTGTGTTAACAAAAAAAAAAAAAAAAAGAGAGATTTTTTTCCTACCAACTGTCCCGACACAGTGGTAGATTCATCTTGTTTTCAGGTCAACCTAGTGCTATAAACTTGGGGAGAAATACACAGGGAAGATATTTATTTTGTTTATGTTTTTTAGATTTCTGTACTAGCTTCTTTGCAGTATAATAAAGTGCTGTGCTGTTTGCTTCCTAGGGCCCCGCGCTCATTAAAACAACACTTGCCCAAAGGAGCTTGGCTTGGTGGTGCCGCGTCCTGGGGAGACGTCGCGGGTGCCCCGTGTCCCTGCGTGCGTTGGTCACTGCGAGCCTTTTCCACCCCACAGGCTCTTGGCTGCTCCGTTGATGCCCATCGGAGTGGAATCTCTCCCTGTTTCCACCGATTTGCCCCCATCCCTTTTTCCTGTTGATTTTCCAATTTGGCCAATCTCCGCTGTAAATTAGCATGAGGTAGGAGATGGAGGGGCCAGGTGACACCCGCAGAGCATCAAGCCAATATGCAGGTGGTTTTGGAAAGGGCCCTGGCCCATAGCAGCCAATTGGCCTCTGGAGCAGCTTGGGAATGCTCAGGATGGAGGCCAGGGATAAAACGAGGCGGAAGAGGTAAGGATCGGATCTGCACCCGGAGATGCTCAAAGAGGGCAATGGCTGGAGATGCGACTCGAGGTGCATTTCTGCATTTCCACCCTCATTTGTAGGACAGAAATGCTGAAACCTGCTAATTTCTGGGCAAAGCCCCCGAGATGCTCAGTTAACTGTGAGGGCCCTCACTGCTCACTTGGGAAAATCATGTTCCCTGCAGCCCTAAGGGGCTCCCCTGGCCCCCCAGCTCTGCGACTGGTGGCACTGGCTGCCCTGGTGCGCCCTGGAGCCCCGTGCTCTGGCTGCAGCTCCCAGCATCGCTGCTCCGCAGAGTATCCCAGCTCCTTGGTGCATCCCTGCTGCACAGATCCGGGCATCCCTGCTGCACGGTGCATCCTGGCTCCGCAGAGCATCCTGGCTCCTTGGTGCATCCCTGCTGCACAGATCCAGGCATCTTGACTGCACAGTGCATCCTGGCTCCGCAGAGCATCCCAGTTCCGCGGAGCATCCCGACTCTGCAGTGCATCCCTGCTCCATGGTGCATCCCAGTTCCGCAGGTCCAGGCACTCACTGCAGGTCGATCGGGAATAGCTTGGAGGGAAAGGATGGGGTGCAGCCTCCCATCCCGGCTGCCTCGGGAGGGCTGCGGGGGCAGGTCCAGGTCCAGGGTGGTGGGGAAGGCTCACGGTGCAGCGTGATGCCAAGCTCGCCGTGCCAGGCTCGCCGTGCCATCTTGTGGCCACACAGCCGCATGGAGAGGATGCAGCAGGTCGCCGGGAGTGCAGGGATGGATGGGGCTGCTCCTCTGCTGCAGAAGAGACCCCGGGCATCGTGGTCCCCTGCACCAGGGACCCGCAGGGCACCGTGTGGCACCGTGCTGGACCTCGGGATGGGCAGCGGGACCTGCTCGGGATTCGGGCCCAGCGCTGGGAGTTCTGTGGCTCCCGAGGCGCCTCCGGAAGGGCCGAGACGTCACCCGGGCTCCGGTGCCAGCGGGCGCCTTTCGCCGGGCCCGAGAGGCCGCCGGAGCCAGGGGGGCCGCGGCTGGCGCAGGAAGCGGCTCACCCCACCCCGGCCGGCCCGGCTCCGGGCGGCTCCGCTTCCTTCCCGCTTCCCCACCCAGCCGCTCCCAGGAGGCCACGGAGGCGGCCTGGCTGGGATGCTTACCGCCCGTCCCGCCCGGGCCGGGATGGAGAAGAAACTTCCCGCGGGGGTTCCTCTCCCAGGGGCTCCGGGGTGGGAGAGCTGCAGCCCAGGGCACACGGCCGGGCTGAGCCCTGCGCCGGCACCCCGCTCAGTGCACTGATGGATGGGGCAGAAGGGCAGAGCTGTGTCACCCGCCGGTCCGCATGTCCATGGGGTGTCCCTGCGGGAGCCCCGAGTTGCCGAACGCTCCGGCTGCTCTGCGGCATCCCTGGCCAGGGAGCCCTCAGGTGCTAACGACACTTGAGGGAATTGCAAGGAGCTGGAGATGCAGAGTGGTAGATCCCTAAAGGTGCCCGTGGCGCTGCAGCCCTCTCTGCAGGGTGGATGCTGCTGCATGGCGCATGGCACGGCACAGCCCGGCGTGGCACAGCTGAATGCGGCCCGGCCCGTTGGGTGACAATGCTGCCCTCCTGGCCGGACCGGTGGTGCTCGTGCCACATTCCTGCACTGGGCTTTACCCTGTGGCACAGGCTGTTTCCACCCATGGGTGTAGCCGGGCGCTTCCCTAGGGCATCCAGAGCTGGGTGCTCCTGGAGCTGGGTGCTCCTGGAGTCAGGTGTCCCTAGAGCCAGCGTCCCCAGAGCCGGATGCTCCTGGAGCTGGATGTCCCTGGAGCCAGCGTCCCCAGAGCTGGGTGCCCCTTCAGTTGGGTGCCCCTGGAGTTGGGTGCTCCTGGAGCCGGGTGCCCCTGGAGTTGGGTGCCCCTGGAGTTGGGTGTCCCTGGACCCAGCGTCCCCAGAGCTGGGTGCTCTGGAGCCGGGTGCCCCAGCGGTCCCGCCACATTTCGGCCCCCGCGAGCTGCGCATGGCCCACGCGCTCCGTGTGCTCTCTGCGATACCCCCCGGACCGGGGCGAGCGGCGTGCGTGCCCGTGACTCTGTGCAAGAGTCTAACAAAGTGCCGCAAATTAATTATACATCAGGGCCCCGGCTTTGGAGCAGGTGCCAGGCGCAGAGAGCGTCACGCTCTGCCGAGCCGGCAGGCTGGGAGCTGAGCTGGGAACTCCCTCAGCTTTCAGCACTGACCAACAAGACTCAGATCCCCAGCTTCTTCCCCACTCCTTGCAGGAATTCAGGCGCTTCCCGCTGCCACAGCTCCAGGAGCCGCGTTTCTCTCTCTGTTTCCAGCTGCAGCAGGGCCCAGGCTGCAGGAGTTGTGTCCCACATGCTCAGGGCACCCAGCACTGGGGCATTCTATGGAAAATCCAGACTTTTCACTGTCACGTGTTTGCAGTGATGTTTTCCAACTTTGGATTTGCCAAATTGGCAACTTGGATACCCAGGGCAGCACCTTCCCCTTGATGCACAGCGAGCTCCTTCCCCCCGCACCCGGAGCCTCTCAGGCCGGGGCTGCTCCAGGCGCAACTTCCATGGAAGTTTCTCTTATTAACCGGGAAATCGATCCCCATCCGCGGAGCGTTTCACGTGCAGCCTCGAGCTGGTTGTTGCACCCGCTCCAGCTCTGCACGGAGCTGCCTGGGCTCCGCTCCCCTCCGCATCCCCCGTCACCTCGGGCCACCCCGGGGTCTCCCCTCCACGTCCCCTGATCACCCCGGGTCTCCCCTCTGTGCCCCTCGGTCGCCCCCTGTCCCCTCGTGTCCGCCGGTCACGCCGGGATGTCCCCTCCGC